TATTGATGCCTCTGGAAGCGTCGAAATGTACGGCAAAGGAAACTTCAAGCGAATGCTAAACTTTATTAAAAGTGTCATAGAAGAGTTCGTCATTTCTCGACGTGGAACACGTGTCGGTGCTGTCGTATTCGCTACTAGAGCAGTTCCAGCCTTTGATTTTAATCGATATTTCTCGAGAAGAGACGTCTTCAGAGCGATAGATCGCATTAAGTATCTGCGTGGAGGCACGCGAACAGGTCTAGCTCTTAAGCGTGTCAAGCAATTTTTGTATAATAGGCGAACCACGAGACGCAAGATTTTGATTGTTATGACGGACGGTATTACAGCAGATGATATTATTAAACCATCGAGAGCACTTCATCGTGCTGGTGTTGAAATGTACGCCCTTGGAATTGGAATGAAGTATAGTAAAAGACAGTTGCTTCATATGGCTACTGATAGACGCCATGTCAGAACATCGAAGTTTGCAAATCTTAGGAGAGCAGCCAAGAGCATTGTAAAAGACATCTGTAAAAGTAAATACCTAYATTTGTTCTATATGTTTTAAGGCATGCAGTGAAAACTAGACGGGGTTTCGAATTCCCGGCGATTTGTTTGTTCCTCTCTGAATACAATAGTTTCGTGTTACAATGTTATGTCTAATCTAGATACTTCGTACACTAATATTTTTGTTTGTGTTGCTGCTATGACCTAAATTACCGCATAACACTCTCCTTTTGAAGACTGAGCTTAAAGTGTATGTTGTCAAATAAGTGTATAGCTATTGCAACGCTTTAACATTAGACATTAACTGTGTGCTGCAATGCAAATGGCTCAAGGCAGCCCTGTTCGTCATATTACAACTTTACTGGCTTAAAGTCATTTGTCATGACAGATAAGACAGTGCCTGAGATTCAGTCCAACTTGTCTTCGCATTATGATCCCTGTAAAGCATCGAACGTGTTTGTACTTAATCAATATCTTGTTTTTTTCAGCACCAGGAACCAAGCCTGTAACACCTGTAAAACCATCAGGTGAGTCACAGCCAATATCAATTACTGCGACATCAACCACGGACATCTGGAGCGATAAACTCTTTCTTATCTTTTCGATATTTTCTCAACTTTGGATTCAACAAGATTCCCATGTTGTTGTATTTTTTCAAAGACTTAGCAAAAGAAATGTTTTCGTATGTATCAGGATACTGCATGACCTAAGTCAAGAAGCGTATGTGTGCTCCAGTACCTAACCATCTTATTTCTCTTAGGACCAATTCATGCTCAAGCAATCTATCCACTCAATGAAAACGTTCGGGGCAGAGACGTCAGTTTATTCAAAAATCCTAATGCCATCCTTAGAAATGTTCGAAAAGGAAGGGGGCCCGATGGRACTTACGGAGGCTCATACACATTCCTTGGTCGTTCAAACAGTTTCATTYACTTCCCAAACAAAGGGAGGCTGGACACTCGGAAATCACTGACACTGCTGGCTTGGATTAGACATACTGGTCGGTCTGGTCCCATTTTCAATTACTACCCGAGGAGATTCGGTGTCCACTGGTGGATGACTTCACCAAGGACGTTGTTTGTTCGTTTCACTAAACGTAACCTTCAGCAGCCTGCACCTGTGGTGACAAGAGGAGTAAGGCCAGGCCGTTGGCAGTTTGTAGGTGCCACTTATAACTACAGAACTGGAGTAGCTAAATTGTTTTTGAACAATAAATTTGTGGCCAGACGACGTATTGGACAATTCCAAATAGCTACTAACTATCCCGTTCGAATGGGCGCCAAGGTAGGCGATCGACGTTATTTCCGTGGTGACATTTCTTGTATGCAAGTATACGCCGTACCTTTGTCACTAACAGCAATTATGAGCAAGAAGAAGCGTTGCTTCCGAAAAGGTCAGTGTAGATATTGTGACAAAAGCAACGTATACAGTTCATATAATTTAATTATAAAAACTGAAAAATTATATTGTTATATTATCCATATGTATTTTTACTGCGTGATTTTTAATGAATTCATATAGGACTTAAAATAGAAAACCCGACGGCTCTAGGACGCGGGTGGAATGGTATAGCATTTCTTAGTGTATTTCTAGTGTTTGTAGCAACGTTTGTAGCCATGTAATTTTAAATACGTAAAAGTAACGTTATCCATTTAATGCTATTGACAAAATTTTGATAAAAAACCTATCTAGTTTTAATCTGATTTGATGTCGAAAATCGTTAGAAATACTTCCGTGTGCAGTCGCACATCACGCGTTTTCAACATAACATTGGCATTCAGATTTTCGCGCCTTGAACTTTGCCAATACCTGATGCCATTTTATCGAAACAAGACAAGTGAATAATATTCCAACTGCGTCGTAGATTATGGTAGTAACAAAGTATGTAGTTTCGTAGTAATCGCCGATCACAGGACTAGATATTTGGTCCTTGCTCCATAAAATGACGAAAATGTTCATCTTTGCTCGATACGGATTCCAGAACAGTGTTTGTGATTGCGATTCCGAAGCTAAAAATCTAACACCTAAGCCCCTCAAAAGTGTGATCCATGATTCCGAAGATAACGCTGATTCCCATATACCTGGTTACTACCGAAACTAGTACGTCTCTCGAGTCTTCTGTCTATCACTATTGATAATCTGTTCAACAGTCTTCTTCACAGTTCTCTGCGCCATCTTGAAAGGTAGCCGTGCCTTTGCATCKAAGCGAGACGACCGTTGAGCGTGCAATGATAGAAACCTTCTTTCACACCTACCGACAATTATTCACAGGTATCTATCATTGCACGCTCAGCGGTCGTCTCGCTTCGATATAAAGGCCCGGCTACCTTTCAAGAAGGCGTGGGTAACCGTGAAGGAGACTATTGAAGAACTAAATGTCATGCTTATGATAAGTAGAAAAAATATATATACTAAGAAACAATGGAAAAAAATGAAAAAAAAGGACAGGCGATGTATTCATTTGTACGGTGTCTCTTTTCCAGTGCAACCTATCATACCACCACTACCACCATGGGGACCAGGTAAGACTCTTTATCAATTCTACACATCTTTAAGTGTCTGGCACTCAGTATATTTATTATATCCTTTAGTTTGCCGTGCAACAATTGATTTAGCATTCTTGATTGATGGCTCTGGAAGTATTGAACATTATGGACGAGGAAATTTCAGACGCTGCCTGAACTTCGTCATTAACATGGTTCGAGCGTTCAAAATCTCTCCAAGGCGTGCTCGTGTGGCTGCTGTAGTGTTTTCTTCTGCTCCAAAACGAATCTTCTCATTCAGCACCTATCGCACAAAGAATCAAGTAATAAAAGCCATTAGACGCATTCGTTATCCTCGCCGTGGAACCAAAACTGGTCGTGCTTTGAACTTTGCCAGGCAGCACATCTTCCAAAGGAGTGGTAGACGCAGCAAGGTTTTGATAGTTATGACAGATGGGAGGTCTTACGACAGAGTGAGAGGTCCAGCCTTGGCTTTAAAAAGAATTGGCGTGAGGATATTTGCTTTTGGCATAGGCCGCAAATACAAGATGAGCCAACTTTTACAAATGGCTTACAACCGAAGACATGTCTTTACAGCATCCTTTAGAACGATGAACAGAGTTATTTCAGCGATAAAGAGATTAGCTTGTCAAGGTATATTTCTTGTATTAGTCACWAGTTTGTTCGACTATCAATTAAGCGAAAAAAATAGCCATATTTCGCAATAGCAATTAAAATAATCAAAACAAAAAATAGGGTTTTGTAGATAATGATTTTCAAAAATCATAGCAAACGTGCTAATGATCGAACTTATAATTAAAAATTCTTGCAGTTGTTATTTGTTCATCATTTTTACAACTTTAGAAATTCGTGCTTATATTATTTATAATTACTAGCACCGAATCCGTTATCGTTTCTTTTTCTGATAAGAAGCGTCGGATAACGTCACAAATTATTATCATGAACACCAAATTCCTTCTCATGTTAAACTTTATGTCATTTTTTAGGTGTCAAACCACCCAAACCATCATCAACAAGAGGTAATGCCAAATAATGTAATAGATATAATTTCTCACCAGTTCAATACAAACCATCTAATCCTCTATGTTACAAAATCATAAAGTTATTATGTCCAATTACATATTTTCTAAAACCTTGATTGTCTAACGTTGGGCAAACTACTTTCAGCAAACATGTTCGCTTTACCTTATTTCTGATTGCTTTCTGATTTGTGAGAAAGAACAAATTCTCGCTTCATACCAGTTAGTCAAAGCAAAAGCTGTAGATTTTCATAAAAGTTACATTAAAATACGTTTTCTTGAATCTTCCATGTTTACAGCATTGGCGGTCTATCCATTAAACAACAAATTCCAGGGAAGAGACGTCAGCTTGAACCGAAATCCCKCTGGAAGACTTGTCAATGTAAGACTAGCTAAAGGTCCCGATGGAACGCGTGGTGGTGCCTACCGATTCCTTGGAAAGGTCTACAGCTACATTGAATTCCGAAACACAGGAAAACTTGACGCCAAAAACTCCATAACGTTGTTAGCTTGGATAAAGCACACCGGACAAAGAGGTCCTATCTTCAACTAC